CCCCCAAGGGGTCCGGGGGATTCCCCCCCCCCCCCCAAGATTTGGGATTTACCTGAGGGGAGTTGGGGTTACCTGGGGGGAGGCGGGGCTTGGGACTCACCTGGGGGGAAGGGCGGGGGTCCCGTTCCGGGATTGTCCGGACCGGAACCAGGACTGGACAGGGACTGGAATCGGACTGGGCCAGAACCATGGAATGAGAACCAGAAATGGAACTGGAGCGGCACCGGGACCGGGATTGGATCAGGATTGGATCGGGATAGACTCAGAACCGGGACCGGGACCGGCATGGACTCGGGAACGGGAGCAGAAGTGGGACTGGATTTGGACCGGGACCGGGACTGGATCGGGATCAGAACCGGCACCGCATCAGGTTTAGGAGCGAGACTGGATCGGTACCTGGAATTGGACCAGGACTGCGATCAGAACCGGGATCGGGAATGAAACCGGATCGGGATCAGAACCGGCTCAGATCGGGATCGGGATCGGGATCGGGATCGGAACCGTCCCCGGAGAGGCTCCGGGCTGGGAACTGGAACGGGACCGGGCCCAGGACAGGGATCAGAACCAGGACTGGATCGAGATCGGAACCTCCCCGGCTCGGAACCGGGACCGGGCTCTGGACTAGACCCGACCTGGGCTCAGAACCGGCCCGGGAGAGGCTCCGGGCTCGGAACCAGAATCGGAACGAGGCCCAGCACGGGGATCAGAGCGGGACCGGTCCCGGCCCGGACGCTCCCCGTGCCCGCGCCGGGCGCGCCGCGGCCGCTCCGGGGCTGTCCCGGGCCGCTCCCTGTCCCGGGGCCGGGCCGGGCCGGGCCCTCCCCGCGGGGCGGGGGCGGCTCCGCCGCGCTACAAGAGCCGGGACCCGCCCGGGCGCGGCCACTCCGCACGGACCCGCCGGGGCCGCTCCGGGACCGCCGGCACCGGCACCGCCGCCAGGAACCGGCACCGGGCATGGCCCGGCTCGGCCGCTGAGCCCGCAGCGCGCAGGTACCAACGGGGACAGAGCCGGGACAGAACCGGGACGGAACCGGGACCTGCCGGGACGGGCGGAGGCTCCGGGAGGGGCGGGCGGGGATCCCGAGACTGTCCCGAGGGTGTTTTGGGGGGGTTCGGGTGGTCCTTGGAGTTGCCGAGGGGGCTCGGGAAGTTCCCCAGGGAATCCCGGGGGGCTCCGGGAGTCCCGCGAGGGCGGGGGGGGGGTCCCGGTGGTCCCAGAGGAGCCCGGGGGGTCTCCGGGAGCTCCAGGACTTGTTCTCGGTGGTCCTGGGATTGTCCCGGGGCGGGGTCGCGGCGGGTTCGGGGGGTCCCGGTGGTCCCGGGTTCGCCGTGGGGGTGCAGGGGGGGTCCCGTGACCGTCTCGGGGGTCTCCGTGACCGCCGGGGATCCGGGGGGGTTCGTTTGTCTCGGCGGGGCTCCGGTACCGCCGGGCGGGTCCCGGGGAGCTCCGGGAGCGCCGCGAACTCCCCGGGGTGGGG